GGTGTAGGGGGTGCTATCTTGGCGGTAGTCTGTTTATTTTTTTTTTGTAAAAAATCAGTTTAATTTCATATAAAATATTCTATGTTTCACTGAACATTCTTTTGCAGTCCATGGAGGGGGGCGGTGTTTCTGCACTCACATTGCCGACCTGAGAGTACACATCCTCCGGCGTCTGCGCCACTCCTGGGGGCGTCATCCGCTTTTCCTTCTGCCTCCTATTGCAAAACCACACTCTGACCACCTCCTTCTCCAGCTGCAGGTTGTCCGCCAGGCTGCTGATCTCCTGCGCCGACGGCTTGGGACACTTGAGGAAGTGGCTCTCCAGCGCGCCCTTGACGCTCACCTCGATGGACGTGCGCTTCTTCCGCTTCCTCCCCTGCGCCGCGATCTTGTCGATGCTCGTGGGGCTGCCCGTGGACGAGTCGGCCTCCTCGAGCCACTTGTTCAGCAGCGGCTTGAGCTTGCACATGTTCTTGAAGCTGAGCTGCAGCGCCTCGAACCTGCAGATGGTGGTCTGCGAGAAGACGTTGCCGTACAGCGTGCCCAGGGCCAGGCCCACGTCCGCCTGCGTGAAGCCCAGCTTGATCCGCCGCTGCTTGAACTGCTTGGCGAACTGCTCCAGGTCGTCGGACGTCGGCGTGTCGTCGTCCGAGTGCGGYTCGTGGCTGCTGACGCCGCCGTGGTGCTGGTGGTGCGGGTGCTGGTGGTGGTGGTGGTGGTGATGGCTGCCGTGCTCCAGGTCCGGGGTGTCCCCCCTCACCAGCCCCGGGTGCACCAGGCTCTGGCTGCCGGGGCTCAGCATCCCGTTCACAGTGAAGCCCCCCGGCTGCGAGTAAATGAGCGACTGCTGCTGCTGCTGCTGCTGACCCCCGGATATGGAGTTGATGTGCGCCGCGGTGGCGCTCCCCCAGGCCCCGGCGTGCGTGTGGTGCGGCGCTAAGTGAGGCGGCCGGTGGTGCAGCGCGGTGCCCGTGTGCAGATCGTCCCTGGCCGAGCCTTTCACGTCCTGCTGCTGCGGGCTGCCCGTCATCCCCACCGGGCTGGACGACCAGGGCGAGCCGGCTTCCGCCGCGGCCACCGCGGCTGCTGCCGCGGCCGCCGCCGCGTGCGGGAGGGACGTCACCCACTGGTGCGCGTGGCTCAGCATGTGCCCCCCGTTGCTGGCTGCCATCGCGCCTTGCATAAAGTCACTCTGCACCATCTTAACCGAGGGGTCTCCCCTGTAACCCCCAGACCCGGAGGTAACCGCAGCGCTGCCCGGCTGCATGCCGCCACCCCCGGAGTCAGAGTGCACGATGGATCCGGACGAGAGGATGCTATTGCTGGGTAGATAAGGATTGGAAGCGGCGGTGGCCATTCCGTCAACCCTTATGAATATGTTTGTGGATAACCCCCCTCCCTTTCTCTTTTTTTTCCTCCCTTTACAGTCACTTCTTTCGAGCAGGCAAATTGTGTCTCATGAATTATTCAAACTTTTTTTTTTTTAAAAAGTAAGCATTCAGCGTGTGTGAAGACGCAATCCGCGCGTTTACAGCATTCTCACTCAGCTCAGTTCTGCGCCTCAGTGAAACCAACTCCAGGTGGTCCTCTCCAACAGGAAAACAAAAAAAAATTAAAATCTTAAAGCCATTTGAAACCATGTGCAAGTCCGAAAGTTTATGAAGATTCAAAATTCAAAAGGAGGAGGGGGTGGGGGGGAACAAGGGGAAAAAAAAATGCGACGTCCCAAAACAAACTTTCTGTGGGCGCAAAAGCAGGAAGAAAAGACCCCCAAATTCTTCCAGAACCCGTCCCCTCTGGATGTGGCAACAACATGAGCAGAGCGCGTCCCTCACTGCTTTTGTAATTCAGTCGCAGAGATTTTGCTCCCTCCGCTTTTATTCTTTTCTCCCTCTCTCCTCCTCTTCTTCTTCCTCTCTCTTCTTTTTCCTCCTCGCTGTCCTCAGAGCASTCTGTCTCTTTGTTCTGTTTTGATGAGGATAAACCTGACAAACCGCAAACTCCCGTTCAAGTACAAATCCTGTGGAAACAGTGCGCGGCTCTGCCTGTGAGCCTCTTCTTCTCTCTCTCTCTCTCTCTCTCTCTCTCTCTCTCTCTCTCT